AATTCTATTGAATATGTGATTTATTTTTGTGATTCATCTGTTTTATTTGAGACTTTTATATATAATTGTATTGTATAAAAAATATATATATTGGTTTTCCTAAACAAACGGATCAGAGATATTCATCCTACTTTTATTGTAGCATTCTTTAGAAGTGTTAGAATATATATAATAATCAAGCAGTGGATAACGTATGCGTAACAAACTTTACAACCAAATTCCTACACAGCTTCAAGCTATATTGACCCACTACAATAGGAAAAGGTCACCAGTCATTGGTGGATTGACAAAACTACGTTGGTCCTGCATGATTAGCACAGTTAGTTGCTACTAAAACTACCATCTACAGATTCAAATATTTGATTATGTTGCTCCCTGTAACCCCTCGATCTTTGTTGGACGCTAATATTCCATTAAACATTAATTTCTGATGTGATATGCTTCGCAACCACTCATAAAGCACAAAGCAAATCGGTGTTCTCAGCCCGCTCGAGGAATGAGTCTTCACTATGGCCAACTATGCTCTTCTTTCAGTCGTTTACGAGGCCCCGCAAATGCTGAAGTATGTCTTCACGATAATCACAGACATAGAAAATCTTGTTGTTCGCTGTGTCATCACAACAACGTAATGCTCGCACATTTTGAGAGAGAATAACTTCAATCACTATTTTAACACATACGGCAACCCACTCTGTTATGAGTATGCCACTTGTAGAACTGTGTGCATAATCCTGACATTTGCGATATTACAACAGGCGTGTGGCCTGTTGTAGTGGTCTGCCTGGTCCGTTTGGTCTACATCTATATTAATAAAACTCTACGTCTGTATGTTGGTCTGCCTGTTAAACCTAAATTGCCCCTAAAAAAGATTGGATTGAGATAATTTTTGATGAGCCGCCAGAGTTTCATCCTGGCAAGAACTATGCGTAAGATAAAGCTGATTAAACGAATATTTTTGTTTTTTTCTACCGTAGAACGTAGTGTTAATCTTGGAAAATTGGTTGCTTTTGCCGATTTGCTCGACAACCGTTGAGATGTACTAAAGATTTTAAATTGGAAAGTTGAAAATAGTTGTACGTTACCTAAAGGCTCAGACTGTGTCTTTGATCGTTAACTTTTATTTAAACTTAAAGTTAACCTTTTTCGTACTAGAAAAAGCTAACTTTTAGTTAAAATATGCAGCGGGTTAGCGGCCAAGTAACGACAAGAAACGACGTTAGCCAGAAGTTCACTTTAGCGAGTGATTAACTCCGTGAAAACGGTAATAAAGTAACCGCACTAAAAGAACGAAGCCAACGACACAAGTGACGAATTGACGAAATCAAGAAAATATGAATATCGTAACCAAATAGTTGTGATGTGATAATGGACATAATACAATGGAATTAAAGGAAAACCACAACTCAAAGCTTATGATTCCCTACAGTTGAACAATAGTCTATTTAGTTCAGTTGTGGGTAATACAAATCATATACTACAACAGGCTAATGAAATAACTACAACAAAAGAGCAACTTGTAGGAATATTCTAATAGAAAAATGGGATACGTGAAGCAGGGTAACGGATTGCTAGTAGATTAAGCAAATTAGGCAAATAAAATTACTAAAACGAAATAACTACAATGGTGTATCCGAGCTAGTGCTACAGGATATCACACGAAATTCAACTGGATAATAGTAACCGGTGTATTTCTACAAGCTAATTTATAATGACAAAGAGTAGGGCATCCTTTCATCTTGTGATCCACATTGATTCATAGTATTGATGCCCGTCCTTTTAACACAGTTTAAAGTGTGTGTTTAGGCTCAAACATCTAATATAAGTGTTATTGTTCTAAACTAAGATCTCTATAAAATTGAACTCGAATTCAAAATACAAGTTTAATTACCTCTTAATTTGAATTTAAATTTTGTGGAAAGAAAATTAAATATTTTAATTACTGCTAAAGGAATTTAAATTTTTGCTTTAATAAAACGTCAATGCAAAGTGTTAGCTTACTGCCATTGGCTTTGATAATTCAAGATGATCCATTTATATAAACGTTAGTTAAACAAGACACTAAGAGAATCCGCTTTGTCATTCACATTTTAATTTATTTACTTTTAAAACAATGCACACTATTTCGTCTCGTCTTCAGACATTTTGCTATCGTCAACATCTTCACCACGTTTCCCCTTTTTTTTCTCTTTCGCTCGTTCCTATTACTGTCTGCCAGGTTATCTCAACATACTTCGTAAGTTTTTCCACTGAATTGCTGCTTGCTTTATTTTATACTATCGAATATTCCCCTATGAGTTTTAGTCCTGCCGTCATGCCCATGATTCCGCGCGTCTCCACCGCTTAGCTCCCACCGTCTATTGCCCGATTTCTCAGGCTCTGTTTGTTCCCCGCCCTCCCGCATTAACTTCCAAACTCTCTTCAGTGAGACAGTAACCTTATTTGAATCTGCCTTATCTGCTTCGCTCGACGCACTTCAACGGTACGATGCCATGACACGACGATGGCGCTCTTTTACGCGCTGCTCGCCGTTTTCTCAGCCTTGCTTCCAACATTTACGTCATCACCATCATCGCCACCTTCATATTTTACTATTACTAATATCTTCATTTCTTGATCATCTCGGTCTCCGTCTTCTCCGTTACCATCATTATGTTCTCGTGTTGTTTAGCGCCACTTTACTTACTATATTCGTTTCATTATTTTCATGTGTTTATCTTCCCTCTGTCTCAACTCTCTTGTCTCTATCTCAACTCTCTATTTACCACGCTTTATACCTAGCTACCTTTCTTTCCTGTCTCCTCGGCTTAATCTTATTATTATTGTTATTATTCTTATTTTCATTATTATTAAATTGTTCCTTTCTCTCTCTGTTAGTCCAACTCTTCAAAATCTGTGTAAGTTATCAAAAAGGTTGTCATTTCACCTCTCTCTCTCTCCCCTCACATCTAAGTCTTTTTGTCATAGAAGTTGAACTGTTTTTGATTCATTTGTCACCAACTACTGCCATCGTTTCGTATGCTCATTTTTTTCATATAAGTTGGCCTGTCATAATTCAAATTTGCATTTAGTATTGGTATCTTCTGAAAATATTCGTATCACTTCGTGTTCTCTACCTCCTTATCTGATGCACTGGAAATGGATTATATCAACGTCTCAGTTGAAAAATGATTTACTATTTTAATTATAGGAGCTCATCATTTATAAATCTGCTTAAGTTTTCCCGTATAGTTTGTTACATCAATGAATGTTCATAATTTTTAGGATATATAGAACTGAATCAACCACCATCGTTTTCGTGCAGTTAATTAACCTTTTCATTATGTAGATTTGTTCAATATTTATTCATAAAACGCATGATAAATGGGTTGGTATATGCGAGCCAATTTTCAGTAGTAGTACAACAACAAACAGAAAACAGGAAATATTGCTCTTTAAACTGAGGACAAAATATACATTATTGCGTCGAGCACAGATACATCTAACCAAGCTGGTCCTATAATCGCATTTTCAGAAAACAACGCTTATAGTAAAACTCAACGGCTTCATACGAACTCGTGCTCCGTCGGTTTTTTCGTAAAACAATTTATTACTGGAGTGCCTATGTAATTACTATGAGATGATGTCCGCTATAAGCTGTTTCTATTATTTTAGCTCAGCGTTGGCAACCTGAAGAGGTTGCATATATAGCTCATACATGGCAAGGTTTGAATGTAAAGACGCCTTTGAAATAATGTATGCGAAAGACGTATCTCAAAATTCAAGAAGTTCTGCTATTTTTACTTCAAGTCCTTTCATTTTTGGCTATGCTCTGCTTATCTACTTGACTCGATTTTCAGTCGCTGTTATATTTATTTAATGCATGGCGGATTTCAGCCGAGTTTTACTGTATACCTCTCTATACTTCTAAAACTTCGGCTTTTATGGACACGCAAAAATGTCTTATCTGAGCTTACTTTATGGCTCATATCTATTCTCAATTTACCAACGGAATCATATTTTCAAGAGTTCCTTGTGTCGAGGCCTACCATTCAATAAAAGTGCTTATGGTAGAGTTCACAGATGTAAAAAACTACCTTCTCTTCCCACTAAAGGAAGCGTATTTATCTCAAATTATTATAGCATAATTCCATTTTATATTTTTTACTGATATCATTTAAGGAACATATGCCAACATGTACTCATAAAAATCTATCCTGTTAGGTTTATTCGTAGACTGGAAGAGAATATGGTTGTAATTCACGGAAGTTCTGAGACTAAGATACAAATCATTGTCTAGCAAATATCAACCTTAAAGTGTCTTTCACATGCAATAGCTGGATTTCTCACTGTATAAGTAACTAAAAAACTCAGGTTGATATTTACTAGACAATGATTTGTATCTTAGTCTCAGAACATCCATGAATGACGAACTTATTCTCCTCGAGTCTACGAATGGACCTGACAGGACAGATTTTTATGAGTAAATAGCGTAATATATAAAAATAGTAAAATTGAGACGCGATACCGCTGTGCATAGAATAATCATAATTTGACAAATCCTAAATTATTATGATTGATATTAGTGTATAGTACCATTATAGGACAGATAAGGCTTTATGTAGTCAGTCCTTCCTGATTCAAGGCTTACTTGTGTAGCAACATATTGACGACAATCGCATATTTTCTTAGCAAAACTAATTCAGTAAGTCAGATAGATTCTATAATATGTCGTCTATTATTAATGTTGCCAGATTCTACTTATCTTTCAAACGCTTTCAGTACCTGCAAAAGTCTGTACAGTATATCTAAGGACGCTGGTATTCAAACGTCCGTTTTTTTGGTCTATTATGGTGTGACAGACATTAGAAAGCATATTCTACATGCGCATGCTTGCATACGGTTTTCGATAGCAGTTCTTGTAACGCCAAAGGCAGAAAAGAAAAAGGCAAAATAGATAGGCCAAGTAGACCTAGAAATGGGAGAGGCAGAGAGGAGAAACTGACGGGTCGCCACTTACTGACCTCTATATACTCAATTGCAATATTAATTGAACACGCGGTGAGCTTCAAGATTGAGGGCGATTGGCTGGCCACGGTCTTGACCTCGCCATTACCCCAAAATTCTGTGAGTCCTTCAAAGGAAGAGTCGTATGACTGCAAAAGAGGCGGCTAATATGTGTAGTACGAAACGCAGCAACTTTCATTGTGAGGTGATGCTGCGATCGGTATGCATGGCACCACTGAAATGGGCACGCTCAAGCACGTTGAACGAGTGTGTCAAAATCATAAGTGGCTAGAAGTAGGATGAAGGTAGCTGGTCTGTAGCTGGTCCTGTTGTTGCTGTCGACGGCTGAGCGATGTGTGTGTGCCTCGATGAGGAGAGAATAGCAGGATCCTGAAAAGCGTCCGGCCAGCCGCTGGATCCGTGATGTCCACTACCGGTGTGATGAAGACTGTTACCCCCATGGACGCCTGAATGGTGTGTCAGCATGTTTAAAGGAGGCTGCTGTCGCTGATTATGTTGCTGTGGTAGTGCCCCCATAAGACCAGGGGGAGGCGGCAGCGAATTCGCATTAGTAGTACTACCTGTCGCCATCGATGAACCACAACTAGTAGGAGACCCGGGCGTATGATGATGCGGTGGAGGCCCAAACGAAATGTTCACGGATGGCAACAGCTGTCGGAATTGTTCCTGCTGTTCTTTCATATTAAGCAGATCGTCACAGTGGCCGCTACTCGCAACACCACCTGGAATTACAACACTGGGCTGGCCCCCACTGTAAGCTCGAAAACCGAAACTACTACCAGGAGGAGGGGCCATATCGTTTTTTGTTCCTGCAGCGGTATAGTAGCTTGCTATGCTGCCAGCGCCATGCGGATGACCGCCGGGTGGCCCCATTGGAGGTGGTGTTTGGCCAAATGTCCCAAAATGCCCAGAACTCTGCTGTGGAGGAAGTGGTATGGGTGGGCCAAAGCCAGGAGGTGGAGCTCGCCGCATTCCCTGATGGGGAGATCCGTGCGAATTCGGATGGTCTGGAGGGGGTGCCATTTGTGTTCCTAACTGACTGGGAGGAGCCCCTAAACCAGACATCGGCCCCATTGGACCTCCAAGGCCTGGCGGGAATGAGCTTGATGTGGCTTGATTGCCAATATGATGGCTCCCGCCCGGAAGATGTGCGGAAGGCGCTGACAATGGGGCAATACCTGGTGGAGAAGGCCGCGAGGGAGGCATTCTTCCAAACGGCAATAAGTTGGCGAGACGATTGCCAGGGTTGTTAGGGTTAGGTCCCGATGAGGACCCCACTTGATGAGGGTGTGTCAGTGATGGGGCGCCTAATGGGTGGTGCTGCTCTCGTTCTATGAGATCAGCAAGACCTTTTCGAGAAATGTAAATGGGGTCAAAGTCTAATTCTATATCATTAACAAGACTATTACTTTGCTGCTTGTTAGCAGCCATAGGTTGAAGTTGTTCCCTTGATGATGACCTTTGGAGATTGTGATGATGCTGCTGCTGAAAGAGGTGGTGTTGCTGTTGCTGTTGAATGTTAACAGTCTGTTGATGTGGACTTGCGTGCTGATGTTGTAGTAAATGATCTTGAACAGATGAATGGCTGGATGGGTGCACCTGACATCCAAGAGAAAGTTGATTAAGGCCTTGCAGTTGCTGCATCACTCCTTTAGCAGAGACGCCACTGTTTCTCAGTGCACCATCGCCGCCACTGTCAGGTGACGGGGGTGTATCGCATGAATGTTGGTGAAAAGGGTTTTGCTGTAAATGATGATGTTGATGCTGATGATTACGGCGATCTTCTCGGAGTAAAATAGCTTGTCGATTCTGTGAAGGCAATTCGTTCTGCAAATGGTACTGTTTAGGCGCACTACAGCTTGATTGTTGTGCCTGATTGCATGAAGGCGATGAACTTCGCAGATGTTGATGTTGTCCTTCTTGCGTTATGGGCCTATGTTGTTGTTGTTGCTGCTGTTGTGCGTGGAGCTGTTGTAGGTGCTTACATTGCTGTGGTGTCCCAATAGTACGTTGATTACTTTGTTGTTGTTGTTGATGTACCCGATGATTTATTTCATGGCCATGTCTCGTTCTTATTTGATTGCACCCTGTTGTTGCTGCTTCCGCTAGCGTTTCTGCCGATGCCGACGTCCTGCTGCCATCGTATTGTTTTTTAGCGTCACTTATATTTTCCTCGACATCCTCTTCTTCCTGGTTATGGTCATGGTTTATTACTGCTTCCCTTTCTTTCTCCCCTCCTACCGCTTCCTCCTCCTCCTCTTCCTTTTCTTCGTCGTCCTCGTCATCTTCATCCTCACAATCATCGTCGTCATCGTCTGGCGTCTCATCAGCTGTTTGGCCAACCAGCCGTTCGAGGTCTGGGGAATCGCTACGTTCCGACAAGGGTGTTGCTGGCGACTTCTGATTATTATGAAGTTGTAACTGTTCCTCACAAGATGAGGCTTCTTCGGATGAACACTCTGAAGATTTATGGCGAGTCCGACGACCTCCATTGCCTCCGCCTACGCTGCCTCCACCTTCATTTTTAGCTGATAACTGTTGCTGCTGTTGTTTATTATTACTATTGTTGGCCATTCCAGTTGCAGATGGTGGCAGTTGCGCGGGTAGATGACTACCTGGTACGCGCTCAGTGGCAGGTAAAGGACTGGAGCGCTGTCCCGCTATTTTATTGTTGCCACAGCTGTTTTCCTTTTGGAAAAATTTATGTTGCTGTTGATGCTGTAGAGTCTGGCACTCCTTTGATTCCCCTCGTTGATTGGTACTGCCGTTATTTCCACATCCACCTGTGTGGTTTAATTGTTCATGCAATCTTCGCTCATACTCAGTGTGTTTACCTGCCTGCATCTGCTCCTTGGTGAACGAAGCTGCCTCGTCACCCAGTTCGTGTAAGTACATGCAATCGGATTTTGGACACTGACCACCTTTAAGGAAATGATTGCAATATTTTGTAGTTCCGAGTGATGCCTTCAGCGTCTTGCCATCGACACGAACGTTGTTAACAGCTTCGATTGCTCGCAGTGCATCTTCGCTACGAAAATATGTGACATATGCGCTCGCCGACGGACCTTGTACACCGGCATATGACGTGCTTTGATTGACAACGACCTTATGTATTTTACCAAATTTCCCAAAACATTCATGGCGTTTCAGCTGTTCTTGGCATGCCAAACGCGTCGGCAGACCGACGACAAATACGAGATTCTTCTGAACGACCCGTACGTTTGCCAAGTGCTTACGGTTTTCAACCAATCGCTGTTTTTTCGCTTTGCGCTCATTTTTCGCCTTCTGTTGCATCTCATCCACCGATAACGGCTTAAAATTGGCCGGATCCTCGCTGTATTGCTTTCGACACGCTGGACAAAGTCCATTTTCATCAGTCCGCAATCGATGCCAACAGAAACGGCAGATCTGATAGCCACAGGTGCACGGGTAGAACGACAAATCATCAAGTTCGAGCGGTTCCATGCACAGCGGGCATTCGGCGGCTTCATCCTGGCTCATGTTCGTACAGACAAATCTCCCAGGATAGCACGTTTAGCTCACTCTTCTTAATCCACTACTTCAGCAGTAGTCAATTTGGCGTCAGAATAATACACGTTTGTCTGGCTCCGCTCTGCAGCCGCCCAGAGTTGACGTCGTTCGTCGTCCCTTGATCTCTTCTCACATTGGTTGTAATCAAGCTAAGGGGCTGGTTAGACTACTTTGAAATGTGCGCAGAGGAGGGACCAAACGGGTTTATCGCTTCTCTCTATGTTTCTTTTGGTCGTTCTTTCTCTTGTTGTTCTGGCCACTGTCCTCACGCCTTGGTCTGCTGTTCGTCTGTCTATCTGGCAGATGATATCGTTTATTGTCTTCTAATATGTTCAAATATTATTGGCTTTGCTGTTCCTGCCGCTACAAATTAGTTCCATACATGACCGACAACATTCGCTGGTGATGCAACTGTAACGAAATGCTTTGTGATTCGGTCCTGTTCTGGCAAACGGACAAGCGCACCCATACAAATAACGGACGGCGGCTACGGCCACCCAACGGCAACGGCGACGGCAGGCACCAGGCACCCAGACAGCCACTTCGTCCAGCAATCAGTCGATTAGCCTCAGCAACTGCTCACTCACTCACTCACACACTGGCTCACTCAGTCATTTAACTACACGGCTTTGTAGTTGACAGTCGCAAGCCTCAACCAGCCGAGTAGAGAATCGACACAAGAATAAACAAACGTGAGCAGATCGAATCAGCCACTATTAGTGAGCAGCAATGTTGCATCAGTTGTTGTTATTGTCGTTGTCGTCGTCAACGACGACGTACTAATTCACGCACAATCACATATACACATTCACGGCAAATCACAAAGTAGAACAGGCGGTAAGATGGTGCTATAACGATAGCTCTTTTTCAGCTTCTTCCGTGCAGCTTTATACGGTACTTGAAAGAAACACCACTACAATCGAGATTGCTATGACTGATTTGTTTTATGGCTTGCTTTCACACTTTTTATTGTGTGTCTGTTGCGTATGTCTAGCCGTTCGTTTTCTACCACCAGGATCCTCAAAAGCATAGGGCACGTTATCCAATGGCGGCGGCAGGACTACCAGCTGCTTACAGCATGGAAGAACCACCTTACAAAACACTTCGAAGCTAAGCCCAGTAAATGGACAAAACGAGCAAGCCTTCAGGATTGCGCTGGAGTAACTAGTCTCCCGCACGCACGGCTTTCTCAATGTACAGCGCTTAACGCGAGCCAGCTCAATCCATTAGTGCTCATTCGGTGTTCACCATCGACGGCTGCTACATACATTACATTGAGACGGCAAGAATTGCCACCAACAAAATTATGAAATCACCACACCAACACAACGAGAAAGCACCACACATTCATCTGTCAAACCTAGCGTTCCGCTAATCGTATGACGTCAGAGCCGATCGCCCATATGCTTTCGATCATCAATATCGCTGAGACGACTAGATGCTCATCGTTGGCTATGCGACCAGGCGGTTGCATAAAGGCTCTAGACGACAGAATTAATGCATGTGCTTTATACAAAGCATCTACATTTGATCTAAGTTATTCTAGTGTCCTTTGTTTACGCAATTTGTGTGATTCTATTATAGGTGTGTGTGGCACCTTTGTGGTACATTGTCTAGACGGAATGATCTTTTGTGTGCGGATGGAAGGTCGCTTCTCTGAGGCGACTGTACTGGTTACGCAGCCTTCCTAACTAACTTAGCCTAACTCAGCTAACAGTTTTAATGTATAGTATGTGCAACCTAGTGCAAAAAGGTTGAATATTATATTCTGTGGTTTGCTAGAATAGATGGGTTTGAATATAACGCTAATTAACAATTTCTTTAATGTCATTAGGGATAAATTAAAATGATTGTAATAAATTTGGCAGTAAGAACCCTGTGCACTTTTCACTGCCAGTGTTGCATTATTTTGTCATAAACTAGAAAAATGTCTTATAGAATAAGCATTTCAATCACGTATTTAGGTCATCTGCGATTCACTTCTAATGTCTGCAGCCATACGTCATCAGTGTATACGTTTAAAATTAGCGCTAGTTACATGCATCATTTCTCACACTTTATTTTGTAATACGCACTGCACATTGTATATAGCGACTTAATGCTGTTATGTAGCGAATTGAGATTATCAGAAACGAGCAAAAATAATTATTCTCTAAGATGTTACGCCGGTTCTTAATCGCCTTTTGGATTGTACATAGCCAGTGTGAGTGTGAGTGAGTGAGCAGCTTCATTAACCTAAGGTGTTGAAAAATAAGAAAAATACAATTTGTTTGTGCAACAGTGAGAATATATAACGACGAACTGTTAAGCAAAACCTATTTTGAACCAGCTGTTGGTTTAAACTTACTCATTCATTTTAATATATTTGTTTAATTATAGTTCCTGTAGAAACGGGCAAACAGTGTGGGGATTACAAAGAATAAGTTATAAGCGAGATACCTTGACCACGGAGCATCGAAAACTCGTATTTACAATGATCTAGGTTGATCTGACAAGTTAAAGACCATATAAAACATGTTTTTTCACTTGTGAGAATTCACAAAGCGTTTAGACTAGAGATTTTTTTTTACTTTTCCGATTATATTTTTTTATACTGGCTCTTGGCTGGGCTAAAGGATACAGTTGCTAGTCTGTCTTGCCTTATACCAAAGAAAGGTAACTACAAATCCTTAGACACCTACGACTAAATGCCTGTAATATCGGCCTCGCTGTTGAAAGAATTTAATACAAACAATAGCAGCACAATGAGAAGCGAGAAGCGAACAGTGGAAGTTCGACACAAAGACTTCATTTTTTATTTAAATTTGTGCATGTACAGACACTTTAAAGAGAAAACGCATACGAAATACACTTGATTCTAAAGATCTCCAACAAATGCGTCTTAGTTCGAAAAATTTCGGACACAAACATTGATTCATCGGCGTATTATTGACCTAAATCGCAGCCATCATTTTTTTAGAATACGAAAACCTGGTGCTATTCATTGAAAATCAGCTTAAACAAATATTGCCTCGTTATATAATAAAGTATATTTTAAAATTTTGTTTAAGCACTTTTCAAAATTTTGTTTTAAGTCGTCTCCCTGAAAAGCTCCAAAATGATAACGGAAAAATATCGATAGCTTTATGCCCACTTATAGAAGTCCAGCAAGACCCTGGCAAGAAAATTTCTGGAACACTTCGCACTTGCGAAACCCTTAAGGTAAGCCATGAAAACCTATCTTAATGTGGGTGTTTGAGACAACAAATGATGCTGGAAGCATTACAAAGGCAAGGTAGCAAGGGGTCAGTTTGGAAGGCGAGGGACATTGCCTTTTCGCTTTCTCTCTCCTTTCTGAAACGCTATGACTATCTCGAGGTGGAACTTACAACTTATGTCCACAGCAAGCGCGTTATATCCACGTATTTGAAATCTTTTTATTTTCTCTTTTGAAAAACATATGTTAGACTTTTTTGTTCCAAAAGTTAAATGTGTTTGAACTCATTTTTGGGATGTATATTTAGTAGACACCAAGTTGCTTTGTAGCAGAAAACGTGTATATATTCGCGGCGCCACAGGAAGTATTATATCGAAAAATTACTATAACATGGCAATCGAAACTGCTAAATGTGTATAGAAAATTGGAAAATAAGTTCCAGCCACCGACTGATAATCCTAAACAGTCGCGTAATCCTATCTTTAATTGTCAATCCTGTTTGATGCTACGAATATGGTTATATTCGTGGCGCTGCTGCCAAAACCTTTGGCACATGTCATTAATAAATGTGGTAATTTTATATGCAGTCTCCTGGCGTGCTTCTGCAGTTGTCACTAGGAAACCGTATTGATGAAGCATGCAACTTTATTATGATTATTAACTCAAATTCACTATCGATGATAATGCTTTTTCTATATTCAACAAAGCCTAACTTCCGATTTTTCTGTGAGCTTCATAATATTAGTGACATTAACAACTGTAATCGATTTAACTGTAAAGGCGGAGTAGTGAATAGACGAAGGCACGAAAAAAGATACCTGCTTTCTTCTAGCTAGCAATTGGTTAGGTTGGCTTGAATTATTCGAGTTCTTTGTATCAGCGCGAGGCGTGATTATATTGAAAAAGTGAGATACTGTTAATTTATTAATTAATTTTTTACGAACTTGGAAGCCGCTTAGTTGTACTGCCTGACAAAAGTAATATCTAGTAATAGGGGATTTGAAAAGATAGCTTACTGGTATATTTTGCGCGTAGATTCGTATGAAAAGTAGCGCAAAGCCCACAATGAGCCTACCTAGGAGTATGAGTTGGGGGCAAGAAGAGTCATGGCTTTTCCTTTTGGACTATGTCACAAATATGGATACATTTTTTGCATAACGCTTGTTTTTCATGAAGAAGTGTCACCATTACTACACTGCTTTGTCATATTATACTAAAAACTACTACCGACAACTACAATAAAATTTGTGAAACGAGTTTTCAGCATTTAAAGAAAAGTGACTAAAAATATAGTGCTTATGCAAGTGATGGCCCTTGAAAACCTGAATCGTTATTTATTAGACTAGTCAAAGAAAACTTTCAATGCGCACTCTTAGATGCAATAAACGGAACATGTGTATCAGAAATAGATCCAATCTTATCGTCATCAAGACTAAGAAATTGACTACTTCATGATTGATTGATCTGCTACATATCTCGTCACACTGTTTACTTTGAAGTCGCAGCTTCATATGTTCATCCGTTGTGTACACAGTTATATACAATGTTGCATCTATGTCATTTCAGTTTCAGAACACATAATTTATTTCCATACCTTTACATTCGAAGTTAGGCCAAATGTAAAGAAGTGTATATACATACCACCTTAAATTCCTTAAAAAATACATACCTTACATATCACCTTAAAAAATAAGCAATGTAGGATAAAATATTAAACTTTTTTTTACATGTGAGATAGTAAATTCTAAATTCTCGAATTTTTTCAATTTAAATGTTCATTATGGTTACTGACGTTTGGATAATAACTTGCTTATTCCGGTATCGTAGAATATTAGGGTATGAAAAACTGTAAAGGCTCAAAAAACAAGTTTAGCATTTTTTTGAGGTTTGAACAATTTTCCTATTGAGAATTTGTCGAAAATGTTGAGTAGTAAGAGTAGTGTCTAATGATTATGGCGCAATACATAGAGCATGTAACCGTAACTCCTACACTTTTACTAATGTGATCCTTGCAGTACAAGGTCAAGGAGTGATTTGGTTTTGTTCATTAATTTTGGCTATTTAGTCTATTCTGAATATTTGCTACTTATTCATTATCCGCTTCTGCAGTCATTGACGAACCAGACTCCTGAAGATGTAATGAATAGCACTTGCACTAAACATATTTCTGTAGCATTTCGGCTATGCAGGTGAAATCGCAACCAGTCATAAGCGCATCTCCCATCTGCGTAATCTGTGATACGGGAGAGGTAAAAAAACACGCCCAAGGATTTTCAGTACTGCTTAACATGTAGCGAAAAACGCCAAAAGTCTGCAGCAGACAATTAGTTTGGTCCCGAATTTAGCCTTGATGATAACTACAACCCTAAGTTGCAACCAATCATGGAAAAAAGTGGCAGCGTTTGATGAGCATTATAATGATACAAATAAAATACATGTGTTAGAGAAGAATTTAAACACACGTGCATACTGATTTAGGAAAAAGAAGTTTTTTGATGAAATATTTTAGTTAATACAATAGTTCCAAAAGGCTTCCCCATCCTAGAAGTAATACAAAAAACTTTATCCACTGCTGATATGACCATCTGTGACAAATGTGGAGGATTCATTTCTCATTACACAGTTTGGTGTAGGAACGAATATCTTACGAGTGAAAATTGAATTACCTCCTTAACGCTCAGTTTGACTACGTAGTACTAGCTAAGTTTTTCCATTATATGAATTGTAGTTCCTGTTGTGTTGACACGAGATTTGTCATCTAATTGACGACGAATAAACTATGCCACCAAGGCTATGTAGTGGCGCGTTCCCCGAAGCGGTGCCTTGTCGGTAAGCTGATACCCAGTTAAATGCGAAAAAGTCGATTGGCTAACGCGAACAGTTCTTGAAATCATTGAGAAAGTAGACAAGTCTTATATTAATATACTTGCTGGCAAATGTCTCTCAAGCTGAAATCTCTAAGCTTTTTCCAGTTGTAAGTTGTTATGCCCACTTTTAAGTGAGAGCTTACTTTTCTTAAGCTATAGTCTTTTTTAATCTTTTCTCCTGTATGGTACTAGTATCGCTTCATACTAAAACACATACTGGTTAAGTGACTGTTTTTCAAAGAGTCCCATTCGGTGAGGTTAATGAAAAAAGTAATATCCACAAGTAGCTTCTCAATTGTTTTTCGTAATTTCTTAAATAAAATGGATGCGGTTGAGGAGTAAGGTGTAGACTGAGGAGTTATTCGTTTTTGAGTACATGTTTTTATTTATCACGTAAACTCGAAGTAAAGTACTAAAATATTTTCTCGTTTCAGTCGCAAGATCCAGTTCTAGTTGATTACAGAACGCACATGCTATCATACAAGCGTTTTCAATGAAACGACTATGTACTGGAAACGCACTAGATATCAAATACAAATTATTATTGATTTGTATATTATTTGCCGAAACTAGGCTTCGTAGAACACTTTAAGCCATTTCAGGACACGGGGATTGAGCTCGTCATTTTCTCGAAGAGGAGCACATTCGTGGTACAACTGCAATCAAAGAAGAACAGGCTATCAGATGCTTCATAGAATGAAAATTTCTTGTTTTTCACAAATGGAGATTGTATCAAAAAAAGGTATACATTGTTTACCGGCTCATAACTTTGTGATTACTTTTCCTTTTGGCGTATAATTAATTGGAAAATATGACTGGACCAGGATTAACTTTTACGCATAAATAGTTCATCTCAAGATCCTATTAAAACTGTAGAAGTGTAGCATAAGTATGAAAAAAATATTGTAGGGAGTTCCAGGCAGATCCACCTATACGACTTATAATTAATCGGATGAAAATATTAGCAAAAAAGAGAATTGGAAGGTTATAATGAAATATTTAAAAAACTTACAAGACAGTCAAGTCCCTAACTTGGCACTAGCGAAGAAAGTGTCCATTGTATTTTAGGACATTAAATTAAAAAGTTATATTTCAGCGATAGTGATGATTTGAACCGATTCTGCGAATGTCATTTGGAAGAATGTGAGCCAGAAACATATGTTTGTGGGAAAGATTGTCCATAGTGATGAAGCTTTTAACGAAGAATGATGAAGCGATTAATTTACATCATTGCACTCACTAGATAACAAAAAATTGGATCATTCTTTTTTATGACTTGTGACAGCTGCTTTAATTTACTACAAGGATCTGTTTTGCGACGCATTTGGGACGGAGTTTGGTTAAAATGGCGAATTTAATTTCCAATAAAATAAGTCGCCTGCAAAGTGTCATTGTGATTCGAAAACATATCTTGGTGAATATCTTTTAAGCACCCATATATATATATATATATATATATATATATATATATATATATATATATTTGTCGGCCTCTTAGTTGTGCATATTCACTGAATCTTTTAAAAATGGATCTAAAAATATTATTATTTTCTATTTCCGTGTGTTTGGGCTAACGGGAAAAAGCGATGGTAAATTCTCAAACGACGTTTGAGAATTTTCGAAATTATGCTATGAAATATAAAATGTTTTTTCATGTGCCAACTAAATCTCGTTATGATACTGATTTACTGCCGACGATCAGTTTTATATTTGCCGTTCGAGAACAGAATAAAATGCATTTCATACCGGACTATAGGAATAACAAATTACTTGCCTCATTTCGAATGGCGCCGTTCGGTTCATAGCTCGAACCTTGGGCTAAAGTGTTCAAATGATAGACAATAAATCCAACGGTATCTAGATCGTGATACACCGTTTGAAGCCGTAATCGATCCGCAACAGGAAGACAGCTGCCTTCCGTAGAAACCACTTCTCCTAAACGCCCAACTGTGTATGCTGCTGCGAACGTGAACGACTGCATGATAGCTCTACCTAATTTTTCTGACGGCTTCCAGTCGTCGTTTTCCCAAGGGTGAGTTATAAACAGAGTATGAAGAGATACCGATGATTTCTGAACGCCATCTAGTGGTGAAATAAATATAAATGTGCATCGAGCAAAAAAAGGTGGCTGTTATTATTATTGGCATATAGCACACAAAGGTCGTATGCATATCGCTAGAAGGTTTTAAGATGGAGCCACAGTGTCATTCAATCTAAGATAAAGCGGCGTACAAAATATGTACATACTCGCAAATAGACGACCGAAAGATTGTAGGACAATTTATCCAAGTTTTTCTTTATGGCATTGTACAATAATGTTGTTTTATGCCGTAAGGTATTTAGAATATACAATTATGTGAAGATTTATATTATGCCTGATAAAAGATACGCTGTTTCAATTTCGGCAACATACAATTTTACATGCAAAGATCGTACATTCCTGTGAAACTTTTTGCCCATGATTCGTTATACCAAACTTATCGTTAGTTCATGTATGATATTTCCTTATCTGATTTCTGAGTTCAAAATAGCGAAACTTGGTACTTGCCTTTAGTGAAAGGACAAGGCGAGAGAGGACAAAAAGTTTTCGGTTCGTAGTCAAATTTTTTACAAAGGTCCATTTCGGGCAACGCTGGATACATCGAAGGAAGGGATCCAGTGGGTCCAGAAACATCAGAGGAGCTGGACGACGTCAATACGGAAAGTGGGATAGGGACTGTCACTGCGGATGAGGCGTATCCTTGATATACATAGGGATTCACCCCTAGGCTACCGTCGGGGTTCTTTTTCGGCATTCCAATGTACTGGCAAGACAACTAGGAGAAAACCGATTATGTGCAATATTATATTAGGCTGTTACCAACGAATTCAGCGAACTTTGAAACTGTATAACTGCTGAACTACGCGCCGCTAGCCGACGAAATTTGGCTGGCAAATATCCCAGTCTTCTGAGAATGTGTGGAAGGACATTGGTCTACTCTACAATGTTTTACTTTAAGAGAAATAAATTCAGAGAGAAAAATTTTTTTTGGTCTCTAAAATAAACTTTCAGTGGTCAAGTTTGTCCGTCAAAGGCCACAGTGCTGTAGAAATACATTAGAAATTGGTCAAAACATTAGGCAAAGTGGCTTTAGGCGAAAAACGCTGTGTGTGAATGGTGCAAACGTTTCAAAAACGAAGAATGGAGTGTTGAAGATCAGACTGTTGATCAAAACTGGCACTTTATATGCAGCCTGTTAAAAAATTATAATCTAAATACTGAAAATGTGGAAAATAGTTTAACAATTGGTTCCTCATGAGTTGGCTCCGGATCAGTTGGAAACGCGTATGGTGTACTCCACCTGTAATTTGTGGAACTTTAACCAATAAACATCCGTGATGCACGAGGGATGCTTTGATCTCTATCGCGAACCGGAAAGGCAAGAGAGTGATGTCGCCCTGGAGCGAAGCCGTATTCGGCGGCAATGCCAAATAGGATCGGACGTAGGGCGATGATAGTACTAGCAATGAGCACTAGGAGATAGTCGCCGAAAATGAAACCATAACCGAAATACCCGCTGTCTAGAGTTGCTCAAGTGATTTATGTTGACATGTTAGTCGGAAAACACAGTCTGGATACGTAGTAATAACACTAGATTTTGTCTTCATGTCTTAATTATTTTTTGGACTGGGCAAAGTAATACTTAACGTTGGCTTCAACCCGCATATCATTATGATCTAAGTCCGAATAATTGCGAAATTTTCTGCGCCTAAAAAAGAACAACTGATGAGAAATCATACCTTGCTATAATTTTTTTTTAAGAAGCCACAGATAAAGAGATTACATACAGGAACGCGAGTTATAGATTTATGGCACGCAAAAGCCGCCAGAACGTTGGGACGAGTGCGTCAAAAATAATCGGAGTTCCTCTAAAATATATTCTGCCCCAAATAATTCAAAAGTTATTTGATTTCAAAGTTCGTCGGATTCGGTTATAACAGGTTAATAATATCGACCCTGATGGGGTTCACGGTCCTAATAGTTTTTAATTGTTAGCAGAAAACAGACCGTCCGGAGCTATTTAGCGACTTAAAAGAAATAAATTTAAACTATATTTGGTAGATACTCTCATAAAGTTTATGGCTGTGTAAGACTCTAAGTTGATTAAAGATCATCAGCAGATATCGAGTCAAAAAAAATAGTTTAGTGCTGAAGATTAACACTCAGTGATCGCGTATGAGTCTTTAGAAAATGAGATTGCTGGTGGTAAAAAAACACTGGACAATCAATTTGATCCTAGGACAAAAAAGCATTTCGTTATCAACGCGATTATTTTGAAAGGAAAATTGAGGGAGATAAACGCTATAAAGGAGGTGACCATAATTCAGGACCTCTAACAGAAAAAACAAGCAGCTGTAGCTACGGAAGCTTTTGAGAAAAACGAAGCATGGACAATAGGGTCTCTGCCGGCTCAGTATAAGATTTCTTAGAGCTAGTATTGTGGAATCGTTACGAAAACTTTTAAGATGAAAAAAGAATAGTAAAAAATGAGTTCCTCACCACCTAAGTTTAGCAAAGATGGAGGTATGCATGATGTACTCTAGAGGGAATCTGCGCAACTGCTAATAACAAAAAACCCATCTGGAGCAAATTGTCGCCACAGACATGAGTCAGGCTGTGCAACTACAAGAGAACAATGGAGACAAAAAATAGCGTCGAATAGGAGAAAGAGTGATTTCGGTGAATGTACTAAACAAGGGCGGTACTCGACAGCTCACAGTATGATTCGCAAAGTGACGACAATGCATGGGTCATAGCCACACTTCCAGTGCAGCACGAATCGAAAAAAAACGTAGTCGAGCTACGGCCTCATTCCTTATATTCTCTAAATTTATGTGATCTCAGTCGCTTCCATGCTTTTAAGAGGGTCATAAGTGACGTAGCGTATTCTCTCGCCGACTGTCTCAAACAAATCATAGATCACGAGATTAGGCATAGTAATGCAACTCGCTAGTACACAGCTCTTCAGAAGCTTCCGGAGTTCAACATGTAAGTAATAAAGGAATATTTGACATAATTCATCATTTCCCTATCTTGTTTTAAGTTTAAAGGTTTTTCGACGAGCTAAATGGCTCCCAACAATCTACTAATAAACGTAGTATTCCAGCAGTTAGACCGTTGTGTTGGGGATGATGTAATGTTAACTTTGTCATAAAACGATCCTTTTAATACTATAATGCACACCTCATGAACCAATGGCTTGTAGACAGCCCGATCCCGTGTTGAATTAAGTCTCACAAAATCATTCAAGGCAGACATCAATTCGAAGGTGCGACGTCCTATTCCAGGGCCATATTCACGAGGAAACCTATGCCAGGGTCTGTAAAACAGATATTGGCGTAAACAATACGTACGAGTTAGTTCGTGGCACTGTACCTGTAGGACCTTTATGTAATGCTTCATTGCAATTCTATGTGAACCAATCTCCACACGAAATCACATACTCTTTTTATCAAACCTATGATATTTTATTTTGTTCAAAATTTGAAATGTTCTAATTTTGTTTGATTCATCCCCTACATTTCTAGACATGGAAAGCTAAAGACCGGAATATAATATGAAAACGTATTTGAAAAGCTATTAAAAAATTGGTCCAATAATAATGATAGCAAATACCGTATTTCATAGCTTTTTGAGAAATGCCAGATCGATAAATTGAAAATTTTTAGAATTTGTACGTCTAGGTGCAATACAATATCTACTTTATACTCAAGACGAGGCCCATTATAACCTAAAATTACCATCAAACTAAGTAAAGAATGCTTTTTCGATTAATTCTCTTTGCATCAATCTTAGTTATCGATTAGTTTTTGTCATATAAAATGGGAACACGTTTTTTTCTGACCAATGGTGCTGCAAACGCTTGCTTAATGATTTATTAAATTAATTTATCATTAGTTTCTATGAACGTGCATTCCTCAACAGCTTAATAACGAATTACTAAATAGCTCAATAGCCTCATAGAATCCTATTGTCAAGGAGTAATATATACCTACTAATTATAAAAATGGCCAAAAATATTTTAAAATGCAGCTTGCGGCGAAAACGATGGGCACCACATTATACGACAATTTTACCCTGTATGGCGATGCAAGAAAATATTTTAACTATGAATATCTACCCATTATCAAACATCTGCAGCTGATACTATGCATTTGCCCATAATCTTTGGTCTGTTAACCAATATAAATATTCGTCAGAAATGCATATGTGGTATTAAAGAACTTCTCCTGCCATTTTTTAAATTTTATTTACGAACAAATATACGGTTACTAATTTCATTTAAATTTTAACATTTAATGCAATAATCCGTTAAAACAAGATTTCGAGAATGTAGATGCAAAAAACCCTCGTAGGTTGATTTTTACAATCTTTTCGATGTGCGGCCAGGCATTGTCGTGGAGAAAGATGACTTTGCCTCGGCAGAGTCTTTTCTGCCGGATAATTTCGTTCAACTTCTATGTAACTAGACAACACACAAGCCTTTGTTAACTGTTTTATTTTTCTCAGGCACTATATAAGCCCTTCCAGTTATACCAAACGCAGTCTTTTCGGAAAGGAAACGTGGCATAAGTCTGGACTTGTGCGTCTCTTTTAAAACTGTATAATCGTTTTCTTGTTTTATACCGACGCAAAGACGGTATTTTCTATGATCAATGACTAATATCAATATCAAAAACTTAATGTGGCTGCGTTTTACTCGTTGTCAAACGAAACGTTGAGTAGCAACGGAAAATCGTTTTTTGGGATATTTATTGGGGTGCACGGGCTTCTGCTTTTCTCTTTTTGACTTAAGATGCCCGTTCATAGTCATACGGCTGCAATTCATCTTCTCCTCCACTATATGAGTCGTTTGCCAGCCGTCTTCCTTCAAAAGTGTACCTCAGATAGCCGACCGGGACGGAATCCATACCTGAACTGTGCAAACCAATTGTGAGCAGTCTTCTCAGTTTTAGAATCCTCGTTGTACTCAATACAAATATTCCGTGCTGTACCAACAGTTCTTTAATACTGGCAAAATAAGAAACAAGGTAGGTTCTAAGGTGCACTTCCTTCTTCATTTGAAACCTCTATTATGAGAGTCTGAACTTGACATATCACTCATTGCACAGGAGATTACAACGGATTTACAGAGTATAGAACACTTTCAAGTAGTACAAAGAGTATAGATTAAAATATGCACGTAAATAAAAAAATGAAGAAGTAACAGGAAAAGAAACATTAAAACAAACCAAAAGTTCCTCTGTTCCAACCTCCTTCAACATATTCTCAAAAACCCTGGCAAGGAGGATAGGCAATGGTTTTACAGGTCCGAGACTTTACACAATATACACTTGACAAAAATGACACGGACGTAAAAATCCGAGAACCAACCTCTTACAGATTCGAGATTTTACACGATATACAATTGACAAAGATGACGAACGTGTAAGGTCCGAGAAGCAATCTTAGAGGTGTTCCGATGTCAACTCTTTCTCATGCAAACTCAGTGCGATCAGCCCTAACCGCCGGCCGTCTTCCAGAAAAATTCTTAAATTTTAAATTTTACAATTTTTAGGAAGATCGAGTTCGTTCAGCAGTTGGGAATAGTAACAGGAATACTGGAATGAATAACAGGAAGTAGGAATCAGTAACTTTCAAAACACACTAAGACAAACCTGTCTATTTATATTTCTCATCGGTGAGACAGTGACAAAGATGTGCCGGTTTCTTTTCTTAAACTCCGGACATGTAATTTACCCGAGATATTAAACAGTAGTTTGTAGCCCGAGTACGCTTTCTGGAAACAGATATTTGCATAAAATTTTTCCCGGCAGAAACCTCTTTCATGTGTGTATTTATTCAATTTTACTATCGTTCCCTGTAAACATAGTTTTAATTTAAGGCGTAAACCTCTTATTTTTAAAAATTCTTACAATAGACTCATAGACTATTTTTTATATTTGGATGCTGCATGCATAGCTGCAAAAGAATTTACTCGACCGTATTTCTATTTACAAAACTTTAAATAAACATGACGAAATTGAGTCATTTTAATCAACTAAACACGGGTAATGAAAAGTGGATTACATATGACAATAATATGCGAAAAGAATCATGATCAGAAGAAGTAAAACCTCCACAACTTGTGGTGAAGTCTGGATTGATGCCAAAGAAGGTGATTGGAAAGGAATCGTGCATTCTAAGGCGTGCAACCTGGCAAACGATTGATTCGGACACCGACTGTCAAAAACTAACACGATTACAATACTCCATCGAAAAAAATCAACTGGAAATTCGCCTACAGACGACGTACACCTTTAGCTATTCGACAAAAATTGAGAGAACTTAGGCGGAAGGTTTCAACGCATTTACTCCATAGCCATCTTACACTGTCAGGCTGTCGTGTATTTTAGTCTTTACAGAACCCCTTGATGGTATTAATTCACTTTCAACTTAAAAACCTACAGTTTTTCGTCCAAAAAAACAACCCAGTTCTACAGTGATGGGATTATAATATTACCAGAAAAATGGAAGAAGGTTATCGACCAAAATAGCGCATATTTTATTTGGTAATATTGTTTTGAGAAGTGATAAATATTTGCAATTTTGATTTGAAAACTTTTAATACTTTTTTAAGCTATATATGCATACTACTGGCCTTACCTTTGTGGATCGACCCTATGCGGTAGTTTGAACTGTTTTGAATCAAGTTTGATAATTTCCAGACGATTTTGGAGCCACTTGGTCTCGTCCTCATTCAGCGACATAGAATTGAATGCGTTCTGATATTCCTGTAACGAAAGAAAAATAAATTCACATAAGCTATTCTAAATTGTATAAAACCGATATTACATCATCATGATTCAAGGAAAAGAAGCTCTCTTGTGAGCACAGTAACTGCAAGCTAACTTGCCAGATACACTTGGTAAACCGATTCAACGCTCAAGTCTTACATGAGTTCAGTTGACTTATGTTTTGGGTAAGCAAATAGGTCAATTCTATTTTTTTTCGCCTATTTTCGTCTTGCCTTTAGTTTAAGAGCTTTTAGTGCCAGGTAAGTAGTTCACTTACCTACAGCTGCAGGGAAACCGTATCTATTAGTTAGTGCGGAATATTTTTGTACGAACTGAGTTTGCAGAACTGACATTCCGGATTTGAAAAAGAAACGGCTAATGCTGCAACCTGAAGAACTTTAACGATTGATACCAAATCAACAAAATTCACACTACTTTTGAAAATCCCGAAAATATCTTCGGTACATAAATCGGAACTGTTCAGATAAATTCGCTTGTTGACAAGAAAGTCAAACTCTTAAATGCGTGAATTCTTAACGAACTCAAAAATTATTTTCCTGACCTAAAGTTGTTGGCGTGTAGTCAGTTTCTAAGACGATGCAGAGGTGGATGTAAGATCGTTTTCTATAAGGCCGCGGCTGGAAAATAAGCGATAGGTCCCCAAACAGGGTTATCTAAGGGTAGTTGTCATTGCAAGCAAATTGGCTCAAATACTGGGTTTTGGCCGGAATATAGCCTAGCCGTATTGCGTCAGATAACCACCTGCTTAATTTATTAGAAATTAACCTACAATGAAAAACAACTCGACTCCTTCGATAGTATAATAGTGTATAAAAACCCATATGTGAAATGCATAGTGTCGTTCTAATTGATTACTCAACCACAGTTTCAAGCAGTCTTTCGAAGGGGAGTACTACTAGGCCTATAAGGTTCAGTGTTTAACCAGACTAATGTTTCTACTATGATCTGACAGTTTACCATCACACGTCAGCAACAGGATCAGTGAGGACCGAACAACCGATTGGTGAGCACTAATCAGTGTTGCAACGTACCTAGGCCAGATATACGGCTATGGCACATTAAAACTCATTGTTTTGTAACAGCTTATTTCATTGAAAAATGCATTCATTAAAGACTGATTAGAGGAATTAGATACTAACCTTAGGTAATTTACTATGCGCAATGGAATTGGTAAGTATCTGCGCCTGTGAAGCACCCTCCAGCAACCGAGTCTTATGTCCGATCATGTAAGCCCATCTTGATTCCCGCCGATTAGGCTTTTCAGGAAAAAAGCTCTGAAATAATTATATAACAAAGTTAATATTTACTTTTAGGTAGCAGATTTCATCATGATAATAAGTTTCCGTTGAGTCGAAGAAAATATCACCGCTGACTAAGTGATAATAAAAATAGACACTTTGAACATAATTATGTATTTATGACCATGTATTTTTAAAGCGCCACTTTATCGTTTCTCATAATGTAGAGGCAATAAGCACTGGCGTTACAACTAACCAATTTTGACTTGTACTGACTAATTTTAAGTTTAAGATTGACCACATTGTGTAGTTATGGTTCAGTCACATGAAATCCACGCGAATTAAGGCAAATGTAAAGGCAGGAATTAAATACAGCTAATTGAACATGAAACAGTGCAATAGGAAAGCAAAAAAACGTAGTAAATTCATATAGGTTAGTAATTGAGAACATTACATATTCCTAGGCATCACAATGTGAATCTTAAGACCTTCTGAACCTACCCTGATTTACATATAATTTCACCGCTCACAAAAGCAGGGCTGCTCTCCACAGTGCCAAAGAAAGAAGAATGCTACTCTCCTTCGTGTCGAGGCTCGGTAAGCGTAAGGAACTGGTTTGTCCCTCTGCTAACAGGAGCCAAAAAGTTTTGCAAGTGGGCCGAAATGATATTGTACTACCATATAAGGTCATCTTCATTTCACCAAGAACTTCCTGTGTTACGCACGCTATAGTGCGATTTCATCACAGCAGTGCCATCACCAGTCAAGCATTTCTCTTAAGATCACAGCGGTGGTGCCATCTGGTCTAACTTACAGGTCAAGCACTCTGGGTTTCTAAGTGACTTTTCTAATTACTGCATTGACTTTCGAGTATCCCCCTTGTGTAACTTAAGTGGTTGGAACCGCTTGCACCAATTTCTCTCATGCTGAGCAATCGCACTCGCACATTCGAGTAATGATTTTTAATTTGGCAATAATGTGGAAGAAATTCTGGCCAAACATAATGTTTAACTGTGCGAATGGACCTCTACTAAGGGCAAAGTCTTTGATGCTATGAACGGCCTCTTCACAAATTCTTGAAAATCTTGCTTAGTAAATATTAGAAAATCTAATTTGTTACTTATTTTAAGGAGTTACAATTGGAGTGTATGGAGAACGGTTAATTAAACTTATATTGCCTGAATTACCTAACCGGGCCATCGCAGTCGTCTTTCTGATCTAGGTTACCTTCCATGATTGTGATTCGTAAAAAAAGTTTATTCAGTGTACGTTAATACATATAGAAACTTTACCACCAAACTTATTCCACAATATTTTACTCGCGCCAAGCTGGACGTTTTTGTATACATAATGCGGTTCTAGGCTGTTTTATGTGATATAAGCTTCACTTTTTTTCAGATCAATGTAGTGATTATAACAATCGATATATATACTCACATTTAAATCAACAACGCGGTCCGGCTTACTTGCAAACGATACGGCATCGTAGACGGGGATCTTTTTGTCGATCAGAAACTGTGGAATTCCTAAGTCCTTTACCTTCCTTATCGATCGACGATTTTGCCATAACTCCCTGTTATTCATTTTTAGGATCGACAAGCAAGCTTTATCCTAAAGAGCTCTTCACATTAAAGTTTTTGGAAATAGAGTCTATCTTGATATTTTTATCGGGCTATAAAACGATCAACAAGAGGAAGCATCTGACCATACCAAAATAAAAAAACAATTACAGTTCAGGTTAGTGTCAATGAGAAATTTGTTCTGTGTTTTACAGCTGAAATAATCTGGATGACTAATTTTGAGGATATCTTTCGATGCTTTATTATTGTTATCTAAAAGTTTCTTTCGTATAAAAGTAAAAATTATGGCTAATACCACATGCTTACGTGCTACAAGTTTATTTGTCTAAAAAAATTAGATGTGAAAGCACTTAAATATATAGTTCTTTCAATAATAGCTTCACTACAACTCTTGTGTACATTTGTCTAAAAAATTTAGATGTGAAAGCACTTAAATATATGGTTCCTTCAATTTACTAATAGCTGCGGCAGAACTCTTGTTTCACAAATCCTTACACTAATTTGCTCCGTCGGCCTGCCTTCTTGGTGCCTAGGCACTAATCGCACTGTACACACCCGATATGCGTTTACAACTTCTTAAACTAGAGCGAGACTAACTACTCATGAATAACTCTTTTCCTGATAGCCTCAAAAAGTTTCAGCCCTCCAAATTTTCTAAATTTTTTAACTAAGTCCTTGTTATACACTTTCGGTAAAATCTCTGTTCCGATCTCCCGTACTTTTTTAGAGGCACCTCTTTAAATTGAATGAACCATTCTTTTAGTCGTCGCATAATGTTAGGTATTTTGAAGTACGAATACAGTAGTATATAGTAGTTTTAAAGTGTGGGTACGGTACACTTACTATACGTCTATTATAAAGAAAGTTTGCATAAAATGTAACGTCGTTTGAAAGGAAACTCTTCCAGTTGGGTCAAAAAAATTTACGTGTACTACACTATCGGTCACTGCCTATATTACTTTACGCGTTATACATATACACCAATTGGGCATTCAAATTAGAAATTTTCGTTTGATTTATAAGCTAAGTGGGCGTTGACTTAAAACATCTAGTTTTACTAAGAGACAGATAATTAAAATCTTATTCTATGTCTCACAAAAGTGATGTATTAAATAAAAATTTTCAAATTCTCTCTTTTTAAATGACTTTGTTGAAAGCTTCGTCACAAAACTGCCAGTTGGAAATTTTGTTTATGAGTTATGCTAGGTTTGGTGTAACATAATTTTTATTATTATTTTTGCTACCTCAATATATTTTGAATTTATTAATTAATTTATTAATTAATAATTTATTATGACTTTTATAATAAAATTTTTGCGATTTGCGTAATGCTACATATACTAGAACACATGCATATAATACCATTGCTTAGTATCATAATACGCGGTTAGCTCGCGACATCGCTCAATTGATAAAATTGCAATCAATGGATATATCTATTAGAAATATCCTAAAAATATTTACTTATAGTAACGATATTTGTTGATCTTAAGCAACACTTGAGTAACGCGCATGTTGCCAACTACAGCTGCACTTTATAGCTCGATTCAAACAGAGACGACGTGTATTTTACAACTAGTGCCAGCTTCAATAACTTCAATGCTGTAACCAAGATACACGTACAAATATTCGAATTATAATCCAGTTCAACGATTTTGAACGAAGACGAATAATGGTCAGAACAGAAATCTTACGCGCACTACTCGCGCACCCAACACCGGCGTGTGTTTATTATTTTAGTTCGAATCCACCTTTTTGTGGCACGCTGAAACTGAACGAAGCGGTGCTACGAATCTTTTGACCTGCGCGCTTGTACCACATACCAGCTTGTCTTGCCTGTTTGCTTTGGTGGTCAAACAAGTTCCAACAACCTGGATATCAAATATTAGCAAAATTAATTATTAGACATTGAACGTAGATGTTATGTAATGATTGAGTTGATTAGAAATATACCACCTGATATGTTTTTCAATTTAAGACAACTGCTCTGTTTACCGCTTTTTTAGCGGAGATTTAGCCGTTTCGATATTGGCATCCCTGCACAGAGTGTCTGTTGTGGTGCGGACGAAATTCATTTTTATAGCATGTTTGGTACCGGTGAGATTTGGCGCCCGAACAGGACGTACCACCTTGGAACGAAGCACCCCCAGTCAACGGGAAACTGGTCACCCAGAGGTGAGGAACCTGATTTGTGAAACGCACCACAGTTGAGATCGTGGTGGTATCTCGTAGCTGCGGTGTTTGACAATTGACACCGGTAGTGTGGCACGATTATATCCGCAATATAATTAGTTAACTCAGATACTCAGATACTATGAGCCTAAACGTTATTCACAATTTTTGTTAGTTAAGCTATCTTGTTCATCGTAGCGGTTAACCAAACGTTATAATTAAATGCAGATTTTGCCAATTAGTTACTGGAAATTTTTCATTTCAACACAAGCCCGCGTATAAGTTCAGTACCAATTAGGCACCGATATGCATATGTATCTAATTGTTACGTAAAGCTCGAAAAGTGATATATTTTGAATCTGTTTAGAGTAGGTTATGTTAGACGCTGAAATATGCTCAATAATCTTTAGAATTGACAAGAATGTAAAACAAAAAGCTTGCTTTAATCATTTTTGTCGCGAACAAAATATCTCACTCTAAATCGTTGAGGATGTCGAAGAAGATCTGTAGTGAATCGCCATCATTGAAATCATAAGTACTATGATAATTCTAAAAAAAAAATTAAAAAAGCTTAAGAGTAGTTGAAGACTTACTTCGTTTTTGTCCTTCGAACGTCTCTAATTGACGACAATGTGGAAAAAATGAAGGCCAAGTAATGGTTTAGTACCTGGCCATATGTCTGAAAATGGTTCACATGATTGTATACGATTGATGATGGGCACGAGACTTACCTTGGCACAATTTGTGTAGAAGGAACTAAAGCTTTTGCAAAAAGAAAAGCAAATAGGCTGTAAATAGACGTATTGGATAGAACAGATTCAAACACTGTATTCATCCTCGACTGATGAAGAGACACGATTCTTTCAGTTCGATCCGTCAGCAAATCTGCTAAGAAGCTTCGGAATATTTTTAAGAAGGTTATGAGCCAAAACCAAAGAAAGCACTTCAGAAAGCTTGAGAATCAAAACGAAGTTGACAATACCCTTGACCACTTCAATATATATTTACGCAGACTCATATCTACATGATTTTTTTAATTTTGGTTTAATGAATACCAACTCTTTAAGATTCATTCTCACTCACGCTTTCAGCTTATAGAAGACGAGTTCATAAGCTACGAGCTCACTGAGTGCCACTTAGAAAAGCTCGCAAAAATGCACGGATCAATTTTTTGTCTATGATTGCGACCCAATATGCTTTAGATGGATGCTTTACAAGAACGTGGCAAAAAAGTCGTGGGTAGTATTAACCACCCAAGTACAGACCCTTAACATCTAGTCAAAAAAGAACATGTGTGATCTGATACAAGTTGTTCTTGAGTAACGAAATAATCATTGCAGCCAAGAGTTGTGAAAATCTGGGTTAGGAACGATGTCAACTTGAAAGTAAACTGAATTTAAGGTTTTCTAAGCACAAGTTATATTAAAAATATCACAGAACTCCGGCCAAGATACTTTATCCTACTTACCAAATATATATCCCAAACGTGGCTCTACATAATTATTGCTTATTTCGCTTAAAACAACGTATACTAAAGAAATATTTGTTTACTAGACAGTATCCAGTTCACATAAACCAATATATCGTGATTATGAACGCCGTCTTCTAGACCGGTGTTAATATCTGGTCGGCCGAACGCTGAACATAGGTCGCCCAGAGTATCGTCTTATTTGCGTATTCCTAAGTTAGGAGTCCATAAGTTAGGACCAAAAATAGGTGATAAACCATAACCGGTTTTTTGATTAAGTGAACATATAATACAAGATCTTGTTGCAGGTCATCAAAAATAATCTAAAAGACTCAGTTCAGACATTAAAATTGTAGGTTCTGGGCACATCTTGCATAAAATTTATATAAATGTCAAACGTAAATGGAATTATACTAATGTACTTAGTAAAATAAGCAGCAGTTTGTACATAGGTTTGTGGCTGTACAAATGGTTATATTTAATTTAATAATAAAATGTAATAATAAATAACTGAACCTCTAATATTAATCACAATATTTATCCCCTGAGCATATGCGCTACAAGTTTACCTGAACATTAAGTTAAAAGGCTAACTTCCATTCTAACGGGATACGTCTTGCAACGGTAACGGCAACCCGAGACATAGCCAGCGTTATGATCTGTCAAAAACCTGATGGGCGAAACAATTTTGCTAAAAACGGTTGAACTTTCTCGCTGATAAATGTAGGAAGTTACATGTTTAAATTAATTTAATTATTAATAGTATGGGTTCCTCACTCATGATTACATGCATTTTGTAACCATCTGTTAATGATTTCTCCATTTATTTAGGATTGCTTATCGCTCGTTGCAATAATATTTTGAATTCAAATTATATAAAGAAAGCAATTCTTCGCACCTGCCAAGTTTATTTTAAGCAACATAATTACTTAAAAATGAGGAACGCATCTACTAAATTACTCTTTGAAAGTAGACTATTTTAAACTTGTTAAACGTTCGTTTGATTACTAAACGGCTATCATACCTTAGAAGTAAGTAAGACTGCCTTCACCTATAGCGGTATTACAAAGTTTTTCTATCCATAAGTATATTCTATAAATGAATGACCGTGCTTTCGGCCGTCAGAGTAACATCTGCATTTCTAGCTTCCTACGTAGAAACCGCATCGTAATGTATATCGTCGTAAATTGGCTAGATAGATTTTTGTCTTCTTGTTCCTTATCATGTTTTCCAGTGTCAGGATCTTTCCCATCGCGCCCGTGCCAGCGCAGTAAAATGCTTGCCCACTAATCTTAGGGACACATGAAGTGGCGCAACTTTGAATCCTATGACACTGGCTCGATGGCGAGAAGCAACCAGCCGTCTGAAGTGTCGGACGTGAAACACAAAAATATTTTTTTGAGTCTGCCTCATTGTCCTTGTTCACTTGCCTATTAAACCTAGAGACACTTGGTGAGGTGGTTGAAAGTGTCTTGAATCCGGCCATAGACATACTTCATTTCAATAGCTGGAAAGCGTCGCTAATATAGGATGTAAAGCTAACATTCGATATGATCTTTCTCATTACATTACATTAATTTAAACAACCACCATGTGTTCATTAAAGTGCTAGCATTCACGTTTTTTTCGATTTATATGATATATTATATTATTATTAGAAGTACTATCCTAGTCTGTATTTGGTTCATGTCGTCTTAGCCGACTTTGCGCTAGGCGCAACCCATTTATATTTAGCTAGTAGCAAGAGAAGTTGTTATCTGTAATCTTCTGCCTTGTTTTAGGCCTATGTGAAACACTAATCTTGACATGAAATGCTCATTGAAGATATATTTATATAGCGTAGTTTAGGTAACTCAAACCGCATTGACTAGATTCAATGCAAACTCCCTTGTGCTTGATTGACCAGTTCAAGCTATGGTTGTATACTGTTCGAAAATAATATAGCACTTTTTACATTGAAGTCGATGCAAGGGTGTCGCAAGAACATCATGAAATCTAAGCAGTTTCTCAAACAATTTAGAAGTATAGTTTTTCTTGAATTATTACATTTTGAAAAATAATGTTACGGTATGAAATACATTACTAAAGTGGTGACTAATCTGACTGTAAATCTTTTGATTTTTAACAAAGCAGTTCAGTGCATGTCTTAAAATAGTTAATATGCACTCTGCAGAGCAAATATACTCTTCTAGGCTTGAACATATATGGTCTATAGAAAATTATACACAAATGTAATGAATAGTGATACCATGGCCTTTAGGCATTCAAAACTGGTCAAATACACATATTTTTGTCTTTATAAGTCTATCAACATGAGCAGCACGTACAAGACAGTCTAAACGTAGTTAGCTTGAGCTTCATTACGATACATTCAGAATACGAATCCTAAGGCCCTTGTTTCCGCTTGACTTTATTATAAACTTGATGACTCTCCAGAAATAACCAAATGTGTTTGAATCTCTGTAGAATTTCTAATCTTTATATATTTGTTGCTGAACGTCCTTTGCAGGATTTGTAACAACAACGGACGGAGCTAACGAAAGTTTGCGTAGCAGGCTATGGCAATGATAAAAGGAGAGATGTCAAAAGAGCTCGTGGTTAATGTTTTGCAACAGGAAGATGGAAAGGTATTGACAATTACCCGCAGCTACTACTTTTCTCATTGTTACTTTCCGTGAGTGGAGGAAAATATCTATTAAGAACCGTAGTAGGGTTAAGACGTTCTCTGCAATAACCTTATTTTAATCCCAGTTTAAATGGCTGATTCTCTAAGTGAGTCTTCTGTTTTAATTGTTGTCGTTCAAAGGCTTGCAAAATGCATTTAAAGGAGTATATAGTAGTTCTAAACATGGGTTTTTCAGAAATATCTGAAGCAGCCTTTTTGTCTCTCCGTTGCCATCGGCATCTTTACTTTGCCAGTTCAAGTTGTAAGTTCTAGGAAAGGGCTCTGTTATCTTTGCAGGAGGGTGAGACTGTACAAATACGTATAGAGCCTGGTGTTACTATGCAGGGAAGTCATGGTGTGGAGCTTGCTGAAGGTACTGAAGAAATGGAAGACGACCAGGATAATCCTCAGGGTAGCGTCGAGGCCGACAGCCATGAAAACGTTGAGGAGGTCCAACAACACGATGGAGCCATCGTCCTAGCAGGCGGTATAAAATCCATAATGTAGAACGAACCAATGATAAAAAATTGAGTTTGACTGATCTATTTCCAACCTCAGCTACGAGCATAGTGGCATAATTCGTTTTTAAATAATAAAGCACATTTATCACTATGAGCTAAAAGAGCCAGTACGTAACTCAGTCTGCGAGTTTATACAGGGTCCTTGCGCACAAATATTTCATGATAATAGAATTATTAGATTTAGCGAACATACAAAGTTTCCTGTCGTATGTCATACGTTAGCATACAGTCTAGACTCACGCCAATTGTGTTTTTGGATAAGGGGCATTCTGTTGGTTTTAGGAACTGGATCCTCTCGCCCTTTCCCAAGGAGGTTAATTTGAGGAAGGGAAGGGTAGCAACAGCAATAGCAGAGGGATGAGAAAGGAAAAAGAGACACATCTAAAAGATCAATGGGGAAGGGAAGGCCGTTCTGCCGCACAACCTTCTAACTTAAAAGCTTTCTTTATGATACACTCAGTCTATCTAAAGGCCTGGATGAAATTTCGACCTACCTCGTGTGACCCTACGGCGCCGTTGCAATAGCCTCCAAGTTTTTAGTCAAAGCGATAAGGCCATTGGTTTATTTATTCCGTAAGATGCAGTGATGAAATCTATATCGTCTGTACTGACAGAAACCACATACAATTTCCGACCTGAACAATGTAGTTTAATAATAGTCTAGAAAAATGCGTCGTCTGCGGAGTCTGGTTACAAATGGGTTTTTGAATGTGTGTAAGTGTGGATAAGAGGCAAATTTTGCAGTGAGTAGAATCGGTTGTCATGGCATCATATGTACCACCAACTTCAAGATGAGAGTAATAAATTGTGTAGGGTGACATGACCACGATATCCTTCTCACAGCTTATTTCAATGTGTTATAAATTCGGCATTTGGTAAAAGACTCCCCACTTGCATTTCTCTCATATATGTAGTGTAAATCTTTTTCACATACAATTCATTGAAAGCACAAGCTTGATTATTTTCAGGCAGCCAGTGCAAGGCATCAATACAGAAAGTCATTAAAAATTCAAACCTAAGAAGCCGCTTAGAGCACCTAAATGATAAAAGAAATACTTTATTATATCAATGAAACGTTAATATAACTGCTATACTGTAGCCGAAAATGAATCATACAAATCAATTCAAGCAAAACTGAAATTGCTCTCCATGTTGTAACTTCACGGTAACATGCACTAAACGATCCTGTGTACACTTTTTATGCGCTGTGTATGGTAATATTTATCACCGCTATGTATTAATTCGTATGTGATTATTGTGTCTGTGCCTGATATGTCCAGTTACGTTAAATGTTTAAAGGCAAACGTATTGCGTTTGTTGTAATCGGTTTTTTTTTGTACCCTATTTATCGTCATAAGTCCTAAGCAACCTGAAATAAACCTAGTACCATTGTCATTTCAGACATGTCATATGATGAACGTTTGTCAGAATCTGAAGAAGTAGCTGCAACCGGTCACAGGAATTCTCCACTGCTCGGTTCATCTCGTTATCTCAAGTACAAGAAAAGATGGAGGAATAGTTGGTTGGACGAGCCTGAGTTTCAAGGGTAAGTGGATGCTTGACTTGATATTTGCGGATCTCAAAGGATACAACGATAATAATAACAATAATAACTGCCTCGATGGCGTAGACCGTCTGATAAAACTCTACAATTTTTCACATTTTGAAATGCGTACACCTATCTTGGCCAGCGTCGATATCATCAGCGTCGATACCTATTGTGTATTCAGAATCGGTTTCGACTAGGCAACCGATATTATTGCCTATCACGGAAATGTCGGCGCAAAGAGATTTTGGCCCTCACCAAAAAAATAACGTCTATAGATTGGTTGTGAATTGTTTAGAACGGTGGAGCAGACAATATGTGCTACGAAATTCCAGTGTAAATATTAGAAGTGCATAAAAGCATTGTGTAAAAGCGTCTGGGAACGACAAACTTAATGCAGAATGGATTGAAGACTTCGGGATTAGGTTGTCTGCTTCACTAGCCATCAATGAACTAGCTGAATTTACTGCTCATAAAGGCAAAGTGCAACTTTGCCCATCACCCTTTAGAATTGGTTCCTGATACGATATAGTTAAATTTGTTCGGAAAGACAATACATGACGAAATGGTCTTCAATGAATTACCCGACCTGCAGCCGGATAAAATTTAAGACTAAGCTGAACTAACTGCACAGTTTGAAAATATCAACCATGTGTTGACGGTACGAATCACAAAGATATTAAACTGACAGACATCTCACACCATAAAAAGTACTACAAAAATACATCTCTTTGGCATAAAAACACTTCATTTTGTTTTCAAGATTAGGATGGTGAGAAGGCGGTTGCGATTAGCTTTAAAGCGCCTTGCATAGAATGCGGGAAATCGAATAACCAACAAGAATTATGGATAACTAAGATACAAACTATTTTGCTTATTATCAAATACATCCAGAGATTTTACATACGCAAGCTTTTTGAGATAGACTTGGTATGAGTCCTCTGCGCGTTATGTTCTCCAAATAAATCCACCTAAAGAGCTATTTTTGAACTCAATACATTGGTCCATGAGGGTCTCTTCCATTGGCATGCATGAAATAGATATGGTTATATTCGATATTTTGGACCAGGATATTGTTTGGCATTTCAAAGAGACTTAAATCTGTGCACAATTAATAAACATTGCAATGTTTTCTGGGCACGTGTTTATAGGTGGTTATCACGAAACAGCGCATCCCGTAACGCCTATTGTATAGTATGCAAACGCGATATCTGCGGGTCTATGACCATGATCAAGAGACATGCCCGAACCGGTAAACATCAGGACAATGTGACAAATTATTCCGGCAAAGATCAGCATATCCAGCACCTTCAGATACAACAACTGCAATATTCAGGCAAACAACAGCAGCAGCAGCAACAACAACAACAACACAACAGCAATATTCGGTTGGTTCCCGCACTAGCTATAAAAAAAGTAGATAAAATTTGTGAATTATATTTGCTCAGTTGGTATAATTGCAGTTTAAAGTAACGTTTGCTTGCACGTAAGGCCCTTTGACCAATATCTGCTAGTCAATTTTCGTACTAATCTTAAAGGCATTTTTTCTCAAGCAACTGCTTCTGTTCTGAATAGATTACTCAATAAACGACTTGCTATTATAAGTACTTAGGGACGCCCTGTATAAGCTCATAAGGCCTAAGAGCCTTATACAATGCAGGCTAATTCTGCATATGCTGTTTGACCTTGCAACAATTTTAGATACATGCTGGGTACATCAGACGGGTCAGCCGTTGGAACAGGTTCTGGTGAACCCCAAGTCGTTGTCGTTTCGGAGGTGCGTTGTATATTTGTATTATATAATGTGTTCGAAATGCTCGCTTACTTCAATTCGCGACAATACCTTCCATTCATCGGAGTAATCGTTCTAATCTATTGTAAGTCCGATTAACAATTCAATGTGAGCTGTTGTTTAATTTTTTAACTTGACTACTTAAAATCACTGCAGAAACGTTCAAAGTATGCGGAGAAGATATGCATTAAAACAGAAATATTACGACGTGGACACAAATACTATATATCAAATTTTGCGTATATGACGTGTTGAACGTGAATAGCAAGTGGACAGTGGCACCGGGAATGGGGGCCCAGATACAGGTGGCGGCGGCGGAGATGGAACTGTATTCGTGACCGAAGCGACGGAAGCAACCGATGCAGAAGGGGCTGAAGGAAACACCGCCTTTGGTGTCGACGGGACCGTATCTCTTGAGGATGATTATTCTCCTGTCGATTCGGGTGAAGTTTACGTGACCATTTGTCGCACCGAACAGTTCTCTGCTAGTCATAGACTACACTGTCCCGAACTGACGCCCTTTAAAAATCAAGAGATTTTCGGGAAGTGCAATAACCCCAACGGACACGGGCATAACTACAAGTGTAAGTTAAAATCGTAGGTTACGGAAAACGTAGGGTTATTGCTGTATTAAAAATCCGGTTAATTTTAGATGACTTACTTGCCTCTTTGTCCTCCGCCCCTGTTCTTCTTTGAACTTGACCATTTTCGCTACGTAGTCGGAGATAGTTCTGGTTGTATTTTGATATTTGCTTTTGCCTCTTTAAAAAATGTGCAATGCTTTAACGTGTGAGTTATGATTCGCTCTCCAGCGTCACGAGCTGTGGACTGTGATGAAGTTGTACCGTGAAGAAATAAGCAGCCGCGCATTTTTATACCAGAAATGTGTGGATTAGGCATCGAAAAGCCGTTATTGTATCCACAGCACAATCTAGTAAACAAAAAACCAAAACACTAGAAATTAAGTTATCCTACATTTTGAATCCATTCAACCATACCAGCCCCAGTGAAGATGAACTTAGCAGACTATAGGGTATTGGTCTGTAAAGTATCTACAACTGGACCGCCGTAGCGTTTGGTGTTACCATAGGTGTTCTCAAAATTTAATTACCATTACCCTCGATCCAAGCCCTGATCCTTGGCGAATAAACTAACACAGATCTATCAAGCGTAAAAAGGCTTTATTTAACTGCTTTTCTACAAAAAAGTGGAATTATTAATATTATTAATCTTTCTAAGATGTATTTTGTAAAACTAAACGAAAAGATTTCAATAATATCTTTGGCTGTGTAGTTGAGGTTGCTCTTACAGGACCAATTGACAAAACGACAGGTATGGTGATGAACCTAGCGGATCTGAAACGCCTCATCACTTCCAATGTACTGGATGTTGTCGACCATAAAAACCTCGATCTTGACATACCCTACTTCAAAAACGTTGTCAGGTATGTATAACTTATATTACCAAGATTTATATTCTTAGGCTGTTTGAGAACGACAATTAGGTTGCTAGCGTGAGTCGAAATTGATGTCTAAACGGCCCAAGCCGATTAAAAAAACTAGCGTGGCAAAATTAGCTATTTGCTTGAATATTCACAACTATTGTTATTATCTTACCTAGCACGTACTATCTCTGATAACCTTTGTTAATATTTTTAATGTATTTGCTTGATTACGCAGTACGGCTGAAAATATTGCCATCTTTATTTGGCGCCAGCTTCGACCAGTCATCGACCAGAAGCTTCATATACGTGTGTCTGTGTTTGAGACCGATAAAAACAAAGCTGTGTTTCCAGCCTTCATTTGAATCGCAACCTCCTCAAACACGCAGCCTCAACAAGTGGTTGCCTAACTAGCACACATAGTGTTGGCTTTGGCCTAACACAGCAACAGGCGCTAAAATCTGCTAAACTGTTTCAAATATCATACTACATCTTCCTATTAAGGCGGGCGTATTGAACAAGCCTATATTTGTATTGCGTATATATGAAGGTGTAAGATTTTCGGTACCTACAGCTTAAACGACCATGTGTTATTGTTTCTCGCCTCCAAATATATTATTGCTTCGAGTGTAATTATCCGGAGTATGTTGTGTATACGAAAGCGTACACATGAAAACCAATACAAAGTAAGTTTTCGATATGAAAGCTGCCTGAAAATATTTCTTCCATTTGTTTGTAAATTGTATTCAAACGTTGAAGTACAGTTGTAATTGAGTAGATGATGGAATAATTTTCGCGTATAGAAAGCTTGAGACAATTAAGAAAACGATGTGTTTTCAAAGAACAAAGTTTCGGCGATATTTGGGTTGTCCTTAAACATAGAGCTTTTAAAATATGCTACACAACGTAAGCTGACTGGTATCTCAGAAGAAAACATTAAATCGAGGCTTTGCAGGTTGTACTGTTTGTTAATTTGAAGTTTTTTTAGCAAGTTCCTATATCAAGAAGACCTATTGGAGATGCCCAAAGACTGTCGCGGAAGACATTTACCATGGAAAAATAGCTAGGCCTGGAAATGACTTCGTTGATAATTTTCACAGGAATGGTATTGGCACTAAATATTATTTAAAATGTATTTCTAATAGATCTTTCCTTTGAGACAAATACTCACGTTTTGAAGCCTATTAGAATTAGAAGGAGTCCAATCGAAACAGATAGAAAAACAAAGTATTTTACTAAAAGTATTGAAAAGTGCTAATTTCAGAATAAGAAGAGATAAAGTTTCATAGCGGATGGCCTTTGTTTTTTTTTTTAGTTGTAACGATACTTTGTATTTAGTTGATTACTCGGATTTAGTCATTTTGAGTGGGCATTAAGCTTTCAATGAATGGCAAGCCAAATTCCACATTTAATACTCTACTTCGTTAATATTATAATTTGCAGACTCAGTAAGTATTGTAACTATTACCTGTAAATAAATCACAGTATAATTGAATCGTCACATATTCTATGATACACGTATAGAATAAAAAATTACGGTAAATAAACAATGGACACGTGTGTCTAATTGGTGCCAATAGTATTTAAAAAAATGGCATGAATTGAACAAGGAATTGAGTAATCGATTACGGCTGGTTTAGAAAATTAGATTCAGCGGATGAAAAATCCAGCCATGTTTTTGCTAAAAATGTTTACCAAATGAGAGTTGTTATCAGTAACAACCATGATTTGAATGATAGCATATACTCTTAATGACTCTAAACGCAATTTTCATACTATATATTGATGTCCAGTCTGATGACATTTCACTGCGCGAATTTAGCATTTTTCGATTAGTTGTAAGCCACCTTTTGTAAGAAATAGATACGCGACAGTAATGCAAGATTCAATCAGGAAGCTCCGATTGCTCTACAGTTACGTAAATTCATCAACGGTTAATACAGAAGATTCAATAAGCGGTCCCGAAAAAAAGCAAAACACACAGAAAGCAGGTTCAAAATAAAATACTATCTATTTTTCTCGTAATCATTACAAGTAACCATTATTGTCGATCACTGCTACTTTCGGCAGTATTTTTTTTATATAATAGTTAATTGATGGTCGTTGTGTTGTTCAACGTCTTTTTTATGACCGTTGTGTTTAAAATTGTTGTTATTCTACTGCTATATTAGCGTTTAGCTATTAGTTATAAAGTGTATTATCGCAATTCATTTTATAGCTTTATTAAAATCAGACCGCATATAGAACCACCGTAAAGCACAATAATTACTACATGTATATAATAATTTTCAGCTCAGATCAGGTTCTCCTAGATAATTAATTGTTGCTGCTCCTCAAAGCGAGAATGTAAAACGACCTGGGCAAACTTTTACGAGGTGGCCTATACTAGGCATCCGAAATAGTCGGATAGAGCCTTTGTGTAACTTCCAGCTTTTTGGTGTTATTCTAGTATTCATTGTTTCCATGTCGTATATAAAACTGATGTAGAAGCTTTTAAATATTAGGATAAGCAAAGGCAATTTACAGCCAACGTATATTTTAATACAGTCTTTAAGGTTAATATATTTAGTATATTTTTTGAGATTCTAACACAAACTCAGGACAAGAGAGACGCTTTTTATGAATCTCCAGACATGATCAGACAGGTAATGATTTGAATGACATATAACAATCATAATATTATTGATTAATAAAATTACCGTATCCATATAATACGTACATTTACAAGATTTCCATCGTCAGTCCTAGATATATATATATATATAATATATATATATATATATATATATATATATATATACTGTCCAGCGGTAGCAGTTACCGCCTTCATCAGTGACGTCACGTCACCTCAATGATGCTCCGACCTCTTGACTAAAGTTAACAAGATTGCCATATAGCAAGCGAAAATAACACCACTCGAAATAACACTTTGCTCTGCTTGCACAAAGGGACTTAACTGTCCGACGAATATGAAGTGCTATATTGTCCACAATTTCCGAAATCTATTTTAAAATTTACAATATCTACTAATTTCATTCATATAGAGATTTCATTATTCGTTATTCTTTGAAATTGCTACGTTTACACTGCGAAATGTATCAAATCTACATAACGAAAATAAAAAATAATCTGAAAACTTGACATGTATCATGCTTCATCGCCAAGCCTGTTCGAGATTCTATTATCTTCAATATCATAGAAATTGACACCTATGTAGCTTCGGATTGTTGCTAAAATACTGCAACCATAAGAGGAAGTATATTTAAAATAAATTACGGAAGATATATTAATTAATCTATAATCAAGCAAAATAGGGGTACGTAAATAGCACATTGAACGCAATGGGCGCGCACTCAAAACCGTCGGCGCGATCGACAGCTACCTGGGCAATGGTCCAGGAGTCACTTAAAGGTCTGTCACCAATATACATATGCTATAAAAATCTAGAAAAATGAACGCCGATGTTTGACGCATGTTTAGTCACAAATCAATTGTGATTAAATCGAATATTGAAACGAAACACATAACAAATATTTAGGAAATCTGACTATCGTCACACCTATTATTGTCACAATGTGCTTTAACGCTAACGTCTGACGATGGTCAGACATAACTAATAAGATAACTACAGTCTAATATATTATTAAAAACACTATCGAATATCAACGCATAGGATAGCCGTAGTTTTTTCGAAAACTGTTGGCAGATCACAGTGTTGGAGTCGGACAGGACAAGCCATTGGGTCTTCCTTTTCGCTGAACTAAATTATTGATTAGTAGAGCTACGATTGCGTGCAGCGCCCGCATAACATATTAGTATATAT